CATCATCATCATCATCATAACATCGCTTGTCTTCCCGAGCACTCCGCTTCCGAGGACGCCGCAAGTCACCGCCAGCGCTTACCGTCGCCTCACGCACGGGCTGCTGCTGCTGCCCCGCGAGGGCCACTTTGCCAACGAGAGCGTTCGTGACGTTTCGGCCGAACTCTCGTTCCACTCGCCTCTCCATCCCCTTCCCCACTCGTCTCGTCGAGCGCCTGGCTCTCCGCAGGAAGGATGAGCTGCCCTAGAAAACAACGGTCAGGAAGAAAAAAAAGGAGAGAGAAACAAAAAAAAGTGAACAATAGATTGGGTGGATTGTCTCCCCGTGAGCGGTTGTGTGCCTGTGCCTGTGGGCATGTTCGGCGAGTCACACGAACGGCAGATGCCACGCCGCAGGGTACCAACGCGTATCCGTTGACCACCGGAAGCAATCCGCACACACACACACGCCGGCACTATTTCCTAATGCTGCTCTCGTAGCGCGAGATTCAAAAACAAAAACAAAAACACATGGTTCACTTTACGCCGGGAAAGATGACGAAAATAATGCTGTGCGTGGCCTCTCCTTTCATTTCTTTTTTTTTTGTTGTTGTTGTGGTTGCTTCCTTTTTTTTCGCTTGTGTATTCTTTTTTTTTTCTTATATATATAACTCTCCTTCTCGCCCGCCCTCACTGTGCGCTGAGGCCCGGGGGCGGGCTGGCACGCAGCGCGGCGCCGCGAGAGTAACGAGTACGCCCAAGTCAGTGGGGGAATGGCTGAGCCCGTGCGTCGGCGAGCAACGGAGGGCAAGGGAGAGGGCAAAGCCCATGCGCAAGTGACGGTGCAGCGCACACACACGCCCCACGCGTCCCCTATCTCCCTCTCTCTCTCTCTCTCTCACACACACCCCGCCTCGGCTCACTGCTCTGTATGGCACTGCTGCCTAAGAGAGCAGCGCCGTCGAGATGTACTCGCGCAGCTCCGCCGTGGCCCCGCGCAGCGTGAGCTGCAGCGCCACAGTGTTGTCCTTTGCAATGAACACGCGCGCGGTGATCAGGACCAGCGCCCGTGCGCGGTTCGCCATTGTGCCGGACATCTGCAGTGTGTGCGAGGTGGTGGTGATCTTTTCCGGCTTGCCGCCCACCACATACATGCCAAAGAACTCCACCAGCTCACGCGCGGCGACGGTGAGGTTGCGCATCGAGCTGAGCGAGTACGTGCCGGTCGTTTCCTCGCCCTGGAGTGTGTCCCACTGCGTGTCGAAGCCACCGCGCAGGTTGACGGGCGTGATGAAGTCGCTAACGTTGATGTCGAAGCTCTCCAGCGGGTACTCCTCCTCGTCCTCCTCGTCGCCGTCGTCGTCCTGCATGGCGAACTTGAAGCGGCACTCGACGGGGCCGCTCGGGAACTGCTCCTCGTCGTAGCGCAGCACAACGTAGCCGTACTCGATGGCACCAGGCGCGACCGCGTCGATCGGAATCGCGTAGAGCGGCTCCACTTCTACCTCCTCCGTGTCCACGTCGATGGTGATCTTCTTGAACGTAATCTTCTCCATCGTGTTCTTGACCCTAAACTGCAGCACCATGTGGGAGGCGTAGGCGTGCTTCATCACCGCCACCACGTACTCACTGTCGGGGTCGGTGAGCGGGACCGGCTCGCTGCTGGCGCACGGCTCACCGAGCTCGAGCAGCTGCTTCACGTTCCGCATCTTCTCGCGACCTTGCAGCACGGCGTGTGAGACCACCAACGCGTCCTCCGTGCTGCTCTCCTCCGCCGACGGTATCGCATTGTTCTGGGAGATGACGTCACTGCCGTGTGTTTTCAGCACCGACGGCTTCGCGTTGATGCGCGCCTGCCGAGTCATCGCCACGGCGTTGGCCACGTCGCACACCATTGCGCGGATAGTGTTCTCGTCCTTGTGGAGGAAGAGCTTCGTGTAGAGCACGGCGCGGTCACGCACCTCATCGTCCGTGTCGCTGCAGGTGCGCTTCAGCAAGGTGACGATGGAGCGGCGCAGGGACGGCACGCGTGCTGCCAGTTTCGCCAGCGTGCTGACCGCCACCGCACGAATCTCGGGGCGCTCCAGGGTGGCGTGATTGTACACAAACCGCACAAATGTCTTGGGGTTCTCCATCAGCGGCACCTCCTCGCCGAGGTACATCAGCACGCGCCGCACAATCTGCGGGTAGGTGCAGTCGTCAATGAACTCTGAGAGGTACTTCAGCACGGACTCCTTTGACTCGGGGTTCGACTTGGCGATTCCAATCGTGACGTCCACGATGTTCTCCTTCAGCTCGCTGCTGCCCTCCTCATTGAGCGCCTTTGAGAGAAAGCTGAGGAAGATGCTGTACTTGGCAGGGAACTTGATGCTCAGAACACGCATCGCGTCGATGATGACCATCTTGAACTCATCACCCAGCTCCCGAAGGTAGGCGGCGGCGGACAGCTGGGAGATGAGGCGCTCAATCGTGAACTCCGTGCCGGTCTTGAGCAGCGTCGTGATGGCGAGCGTGGCGATGATGCGGTTGGGATCAGTCACGAGGTTCTCAATCTCCGCGTTGATAGGCGACACCGCGGCGGGGTGCACCGTTGCCACTTCATTCAACAGGCGAATGGCGGAGAAACGTAGCACGGCGTTCTGCGCGTTGAGGTACAGGTGAACCACCATCACAGCCGGCGATACCTCCTTCGCAGTGATGTTACGCAGCGAGCAGATGGACTTGATAGACTCAAACACCACCAGGTCATTGTTGTTGTGCATCATGGACGTCACGAACCTGTAGATATCCAGCGACCCCTCGAAATCCTCCCGCATCAACTCAGTACATATCTTTATGAGCAGGCAGAGGGCGAGCGGGGAGCGGATCTGCCCGTTCTTCGCCTGATCAATGAGCCGCGTGACGGAGAGGCGGTCATTCTTTCGCATCTTGTGCAGAAGCGCAATGGCAGGGTACTGCGCCTTGCCGCAGCTGCGCAGCACCTCCGTGAGTTGCGTCCCCCACTTCTTCGCCATGTCAGGGTGCGTCTGCGCGATGTGCAGTCCCGTGACGAGGGCGGCGCACACCACGTTGCTGCTCTGCGAGGTCAGCGCCTCCACAATGGTGCGGTCCATCGACGCGTAGAGGGAGCTGTTCATCACCTTGAAGAGCGTTCGAATCCCATTGCACTTGCTAGCATCGTTGTTGCTCTTGATATCGATCATGAGCGAGTTGGAGGCGATAAAGCGCTGCTCCACAAGCGGGCTCAACTCCTTCATCAGCACGTAGTGCAGCCGGCGCAGCTTCGGATGGCTCGACTGTAGGAGTTTGGTGGACATGAAGAAGAGATCCGTCGCCTCCGCCTCCGTGAGTGTGGTGCCGGTGTACATGAGGTAGAGGCACTGCGTCATGGAGCGCAGGCAGGCGGAGATGTCTAGACGCACATCGTTGAACACGCGGCACTGCTGAAGTGCGGAGGACTTCTCGAGCCCCTCAAACGGGAGGGAGTCCTCCTCATCCTCCTCGTCGTAGCGGTACCGGTCACGCTCAATGTTCATTTCCTCCCGCTTGGTCTCGTTTCCGTTCTTGCTCGCGGTTCACTCCCTTTCTGCTTTCTTGTTGCTGTTGTGGTGGTGGTGGTGGTGGGTTGGGAGTGTTTACTCCCTTCCTTCTGTTTATTTGGTCGTCTGTTCTTCTTCTGGTGGAAGAAACAAGAACCACAGTGGCAGAATGTTCTGCTGCTGCTGCTGCTGCTTGGGGGTTTTAACTTTTTCGGCCTGCTATCGTTCACGTATATGTATGTATGTGTGTGTGCGCGCCACTGTGGCACCAACACGGCTTCACAGCGTAACCGGCGCGGGGCAAAAGACAACGGTGCAGGAAACAGAGAGAGACAGAGAGAGAGAGAGAGAAAGGAAACAAACCAAACCCAAAGGTGTGTGAGGCGCCAGGTAGAGACACACATATAAATACACACACATACGCACACACACACATATATATATATATATATATAGCGCTCTTGCGTATGAGCCGTGTGCAGCACGGCAGGGGGGAGAGTGGTGCAGAAGGAATGCGTCCAGCGGCGGAAATAGACAGACACGCATGCACACAGAAAAAGATGCAGTTCAACGCACACACAAACACAGACGAACACAAAAAATTCCGTCGGAAAAAAATTACATGCAAGACAGACGCAACTGTACATCAGCTAACCGTCAACAGAATTGGCTGTCAAACTCTCTCGTGTGTTTCGCCAGATATATATATATATATATATCACTCACAGTGAGCCTCCTTCCGCGAAACTCCCGCCCTCCGCCGATACCTCTTCATCTTCCTCCTCCTCGCAGTACTCGTAGTACACCTCAACGACCTGCCGCGAGCGGTATCCGCGCCATACGCGCTGCACGTCAATAGCCGACCTCCAGCGCGGGTGCGCAAAGAGCGCAGTTTGAACGTCTCGCCGAGCCAAGCAGCTACGGCCGCATCGCTGCAGCAGCGGAACCGCCGTCTCCAGCGTCATCACTACCCCACCCTCACCTCTGGTGGTAGAGGCCGTGGCATCGGCAGGTGTCATGGAAGTGACACAAATAGGCGCAGCAGGTTCGACGGGAGGAGCTGCCAGGGCAACAGCTGGAATAGACATAACTACAGGAACCACAGCACGAGGAAGGGCGGCGGCTGTGGAGGCACTAGCAACAGCAGGGGCGAAATCGGATGCCCACTCACTGGTTGCTTCAGGTGATGGCAAAACCGGTTCGGGCCGGCGTTCTAGAACGCGATGCAAGTTCTTTTGTATCGTGATAACCGCGCGAGTCCCACGTATCACATCTCCGCGTCGCTTCTTGTTCTCGATGATATCCTGCTCAACCTCAAGACGACGAGCGGCAACAATCTTTGGATTGATTACGCGTCCTCGCACAAACGACTGAATCATCGTCGCGTAGGTATACAGAGACTCCATGTTGATCTTCGCCTGGTCGTAGTAGGCCCGAGAGAAGCGGAGCTGCTGCACGTACTCGTAGGCGGCGTGACGGCGCCACGCGCACTGAATGCGTCTCGCGCAGAGCCGCAGCATCGCCGGTGTGGGCCGAAGCGACACGCCCCTCCGCCGCAGCCTCTGGCGCACGAGAAACATCCGCGCGGCGGCCTGAATGCGGATCGCCGCCACCTGTCGGTAGTGCTCCTCCTGAACCGCACGTGCCGCGTCGCGGCGGCTGAGCCGCCTGCTGTGCGCGCTCCACTGCGCAGTGTACGCGCGCCACGCTTTTTGAATGCGTGTCGCAAAGACGTGGCGGTCCCCACGCAGATACTCCTCTTTCCTCTTGTACTCGCTGTACATGCGCCATGTTGCTTGTATCTTTGCGGCACTGTAATGCATCAGGTGCTCCATCAGCTTTTTCTCGCTCTGAAGCTTTGCCTCCATCCTCGCCGCCGCCATCACCCGGCGACCAACGAAGCGGCGGTACGCGCGCTGAATCACGCGGGCCTGGTTGTGTCTCCACTGCAGCTGCAGCCACAACACCCTGCGCTGCCGCCACGCCAGCCAGCGGCGCACCAGACACTGAATACGCAGCGCAGCATCCGTCACCTCCTCGCCTCGGCGCCGCAGCATGCGGGTCTGTGTGTGTACCTCGCGCAGGGATAGAAGTTGCCGCTCTCCCCGCTTCTTCCACACGATGCGGAGCAGAAAGCGGCGCAGGACGTGCAACAGCTTGCGTCGGTGCGCACACTCAAGGCGACAGCGGAAGCCACGAAATACGGCGAGAATCTTCAGCATGTACAGCTCCACGTCGGGGAGATGCTTGATGCGCCCCCACTCCACCTCAAAGGCCGACTCCTGAGCCTCAAGATACGCCGCAACGTCGCGCTGGCGAGACGCCACCACCGCGCGGCCAGCACGCACCGCCAGCACATTTCGCCACCACCGCTGCACCGGTCGGATGCGTACAGTGAGCATTGCAATGCGGTCCTGCTCCGCCAACCGTCGGCGGGTGCGCAACTCGCGTGCACGCAGTCGCCCCAAATGGCCGCGCCACACGGCCTGAATACGCTGGCACGCCGCTACAGCACGATGAATGCGAATGCGCGTCATACACATGCGCCAGAATGCCTGCAGACGGATTGCCGCAGCGTACCGTCGGCGCACCTCTGCAATATGGGCAATGAGTCGCTGGAAGGCCGCAACGCATTGCATTCCAAACGCTTCTACACTCTGCTTCTCGTACAGGTATCGCTGGATGAGCGTAAGACGCTCCACCTTGAGACGATGCTCCCTGCGCAACTTCTTCTCCAATATGTCCTCTCGCGTGGCGAGGTGGTTGCGAAACGCGTACTGAATCACCTCCGCTGCCTCGCGCCTGAGTGTCGTCAGTTCAACAAGTTGCAGGCACTTGCGGTAGAGGAGGCGCATCTTAATCCCACGCCAGCAACTTTGCAACGCCACCACGGCCATCTCAAATCTTTCAAAATCCTTATCAGGGACGAGCATGGAGAGTTTTCGAAGCTTCTTGTCGGTGATGGTGATGTACTCCATGGGGGCTTTCGAAATGGCCAGCGGCTCGGCGGGTGCAACGGTGGTAGAGCTCTCCCGACGCGATATCAAATGCGATTCATGGAGTTCCGGTGAGTTGGCGCTCGTTGTGCGGGTCATATTATGACCAAGTGTGCCGATCAGTTGCCGCAGCTCCCTGCGGAGGTGCTTGTAGCAATCGTATGCCGGCTTCGGCACAAAAGTGACCATTGTTGGAGACTCTGAGCCAGCGTTGGAGCGCAGCGAGTAAAGGCCCTCACTGNCCTACGAAACGACTCCATCACCGCACTGACGGAGAGCTGCGGCACCCCCTTCGCCTTCTTCGCTGTCTTTCCCGTCGACCTCACCCGGCCACGCGGCGTGGCGCTCCGAGTACGCAACGGCGTGGCGCTCGGCTTACGCGGCGGCGCACGGCGCTTCTCTTTGATCTTCGGCAGACGGCCCGACGGCGTCATGGCGGACGCGAGGCGGGCAGTGCACTGTTCCACGGTGGGCGGCGCCTGCAGCGCCTCCGCCTCGCGCAAAAAGACAACGAAGAGCGCGTCATCCACCAGCGCCGCGTCGTCGGTCAGAAGCGGCAGCCGCGGCGGCTCCTTCTCGCTCATCATCAGAGCGCCACTTCCGTCTTGCGCGGCCGCCAGCCGGCGCACGCACCGCGCCGCAATTGCGCTGCCGGCGTCGAGGTACTTTGCTGCACAGCACACGGCTAAGTGGCAGTGGTACAGCTCCTCGTCGCGCAGTCCACACCACGCCGAGAGCGCCGCGACGAGGTGGTGACACATGATGGCGTGTTTCGCCACGCTTGTACGGAAGCCGGCATAGAGCGTCGAGACCCCGCGGCTCCCCGGCACCGCCATGCGGAGGCACACCTCCGCCATCTCGCTGCAGCAGGCGATGAAGTCACGGGCGATATCAAACCGCTGTGCGGCCACCAAAACGACTGCCAGGTTGTACAGCGTCAGGGTTGAAAAGGCGGCCCCCTGCACCTTAAGAGCGCGCAGCAACGTCTGCGTCACGAGCTGTGGCGGATCGCCCGCAGCCTGCTGCAGAAATGCCTTGTTGTTCAGCGTCACGCCAATGAGGTAATTGCGCAGCGCATGGAATCCCACAAACTCGTCTAAAACCCCAGGGACCGGTTTTTTAGGCAACTCAATGAGGTCCAGCGACTTGTCAAAGAAGAAGCGCACCTCGTCTGGCGGAACCGCCGTGTGTACACGACGTAGTCCCTCCTGGTTGGCGGCCGCCACAATCTCCTGCACGCGCTGCCACAGCGGTTTTCCTTTGCGCAGGGTGATAGGGCCNCCGCCACAACTTTCAGCATCACGTCCATCGTCTCGCGCGCGTTCACCCCACACACGTGGTGCACACCCTCCTCTAGCACGAGCTCCGCATCGCGCTGCTCGCGTTTCTGCCGAGCGCTGGACTTGGAGGAGACCGACGCAACGCTATAGCGCCCGGCAGGCCCGATGGCCGGCAGCTTCAGCAACGTCCCCGACGCCCGGGTGCTCTGCGAACTCCGCGGCCGCCGCGCCGATGCGCTGCGTGACGGCCCCCCGCGGTGCGGCACCGTCACGTTCATTTCGCGCCCGTTGCTCAGAGCCCCTGCACCAGTCTCGGCCTCGGTCGTCAGCCGCCCTTCTGTTTCTTTCCGCTGTAGTGCGAGTGGCGGTGGTTTCTGTGTGTGTGTGAGTGTGAGTTCGCGTAGTTATTTGCGCGTGTGATGACGCCTGCGTCCTCCTCAACCCGCAAATCTGCGCGCGGGGGCACAAATACAGCACCCAGCATCAAGGAAGCGCAAAAGAGTAAAAAAAAAACAGAAGCAAACAGAAGAAATGAGGGAATGGTGATATTACCAGACAACTTGGCATACACGGAGACATACACAGGTATAGATTTGCATTGCTTGGAGGACCACGCCCCCTCAGTCCCTCACGCCGCACACTTCATGCCGGGCCGAGGCATTAATGGTGCGGGGGATTCCAACTCCACTGCGCCACCTCCACCGCCCTGGTGACGAGGGGGCTGTAATCCGGCGTGGCGTTGAGCCAATTCGGCGGAATGCGGCGCACACCCATGCGCGCGCCGAGCAGGGCACCGACAATGATGCTCCGCTGGCAGACGGGCCCACCAAGACGAATAGCGGCTTTGACGCCATCTGGAAAGGTGCGTGCACCCCTCGCCACGACGAGCCCCTCGCGCACCACACGAACGTCCTGCACCAGAGCGCGGGCCGGTAGTACGCAACTGTTACTGCCACTGCCGCCGCCGCCGCATGGAAAAATAGGCGCGGCATTCGGCAGTGCGTTGTCATGCGCTCGCGCCGGGCAAAAGGACGCGACGTCCTCCGGGAAAATGTCCGCTGTCCCTGGCACCGCCATGAAGGCGGCGTTGCGGTACGGATCGGGGATGCTCTGCAGGCAGCGCAGTGCAACGCCGAGCGCAGAGAGAGTGTAATCCCGCACAGCGTTGCGTGAGTCCACCCCAAAGTTGCCCGCCGGCGGCTCTGTGAGAAAGTCAATAAAAGGCGTTGCGTACGCCCGCAACGTCGCGTCGTCGGCCCATGGGTAAATCACCGGTAGTGGCAGCACAACGCCCAGCACGTGCAGCAGAGAGGCGTGCTCGTTGGCGAAGCAATCGGGGTGGGTGCGGGCCGCCGACACCCATTCATCCTTCACGTAGCTCACCGGAAACTCACCCCGGGAAGATGCCATGACGCGCAGCAGCTGCGACGCGAAGAGGTGCGTGTAGGAGTGGTGCCGCAGCGGGCCCAATGGGTGGCCTCGACGCCCATCACGACGGGGGCCGGCCTGCGCAAACACCAGCGGATCCTCCTCAGCCATCACGTCTCCCTGCGCCTTGGCCTGATCCGCCGCAAAGGCGGCAATTTCCTCCACCGTGCAGCCCTCGAATGCGTGCGCCGCCGCATCAGCAACAGCAGCCCCAATGAGCAACCCTGTCTGCTTCTGTTGGATGTCGCTAAGTTGCCTGAAACTGCTCTCGTAAAAGTTGGTGATCCGTGCAACAGGGTTGTGATGCAGCGTGGCCACCATCCTCTTGCTTCACGTTTCTTTTTCTTTTCTTGTTTTGTGGAGGCTTTTTGCCGCGCTTTCTGTACGCTGTTCAGCCTGTTATCGCCTCGAAAGTGCCAGCAAGCAACGCAGGCAAAACAGAAAAGAGAAAGGGCAAAGAGGAAACCAAAAGTGGTTCACCATGCAAATAGGAAGAAGTAAGGCATGGATGTCTCTGTGTGCATCCATCTGATCTTGGTATTTCTCCCCCACCCCACCCCTGGCTGTGGGTGTGTAGGAGTGAAATTTTACCATTTTCTTCTGCTTCGTCCAACTTAAAGGAGTCGTCATCATCGCCCCGCTACTACCACCTCCAATCACACCAACACCACCACCACGGACGGAGAAATAGCACGCTGCATCGTCTATGCAGAGTAAATGGATCAGAGGTCATGCAGGGGCGATGGTGATGTGCGTGCAGTCTTTGTTTCAGATGGTGTTGCTGCATCTGCTGCTTCTATCGATGTGCCTACCCCTGTTGCTTCTGCTGCCGCCGCCGCCGTATAGGAGCGGTCGGAACTCGAGGCAACGTGTCGCGAGATGATTCCCTCCATCGCCCTCTCCGGGTCAGCGTACCGCTGTAGCCGCTGTCGCCGCATCTCCTGCACCATGAACCCCCGCATCTCATTCAGTGCATCACGGAGTTCGGCGACCTCCAGCTGGAGCTGTCGCACCTCTTTCACCTCTCCGCGTCGCCGCGTGAGCCAGCTTCGTGCTAAATATCCCCGACACACACGCTGCAGATCCAAAACATCGGGTCGCAGTGAAGCAACAAACTCATCGTAGCGGTCTTTGAGGCGGCGCCAACGTTTTCTATCAACGTGGCCTCGGTAGTATTTTTGAATTGTTGTAGCCGCAGCGGTCCTTTTCAGGTCCACAACACGCCGGAACTCGCCCATATCGCCCCACATTTGTTGTAATAGGGATTCAAAGGCTTCAAGTCTTTGCACCACCTCTGCCATCTCGCCTCTGGCAATGTGAGTGTTGGCCTGCCACGCCTCGCTCGTACTCAATGAATGAGAAGTTACTTGCTGGTGCTGAGCCCATGAAGGCCAACAACGAGGGCGACGCAGGTTGTTTCTGATGCGCTCGCAGCTCCGTTGAATTTGCGGTGGAAGATGACGCCGCACAAGAAATCCCCGTGCATATTTCTGCAATACAATGGTGGCAAACACCCGCCTTGACATACTCTCCCCCCAAAGAACCTCCACAACGCTCGACAAGTGTTTCATTTTCTTTTGCATCATTTGCAGTACAACTTCAGCAGAGGGTGGTCGAGAGTTGAGGCTCGTTGTGCTTGCACCAACACTAATCGTCGTTGGCAAGCGGGCCGTCATGCCGCCCAATGACGGAGGTGGTGAGGTGTTTCTCTTCGGTTGCGTGACCAACTGTTCTCGTTTCGTTCCCATGGAAGAATCGGCGACTGGACGTGTGGACAGTAGGGGAGAGAAATTCCGCAGGTACGTCTCTAACCGTGCGCCACTGTTGTTATTCATCATCTGCATTGCCTCATAGCTGAGCTCCCCCTGGTGGCGAAAGAGTAGTGCTGCCGCTTGCCGCTCCTCGTGCGAGAGTGGAGCTTCGTCTACGGTCTCCAGGCATGGCAGCAGAAACAATAGCCATGACTGCACGGCACCTTTGGCGGCAGCCGCGTCTTCCACGCACGGATTACCCCGCACTGTCAATACCTTGAGCGTCTCTGCCAGCACAGTGAGGTTGGAGAGCACCTGCAGCGAGCCCAGTGAATTGTGGGCCAGCGACAGAGACGTCAGCGCGAGGAGCGGAAGCCGGTTGTCGAGGTCTGCGATATTATCAATGCGGTTGTGCTCGACGTCGAGCTCCGCCAGGATCGGCATGCTGCGCAGGTCTGGCATCTCGATGAGCTGGTTGTGCGCCAAGTTCAGAACCGTGAGCCCCTCCAGCCCACCGCTGACGACGCCGTCGCCATCGTCGGCCAGCGGGTCGCTCCACGTGCCGCTACCGCGTGGGGATGCGTCGAAGTCTATGAGACAAATCTCGTTGTGGGAGAAGTCACACCGGCGCAGACGCCGCAGTCGACGCAGGAGAGATGTGGAGTGCGCGTCTAACACCCGCAGTGCGTTGTGGCTCAGGTCCAGGAACTCGACGCAGGGGAAGGCGTCCACGCCCTGCAGGGTGCTTATCCGGTTGTGGGAAGCCGTTAACGATGTGATGTGCTGCAGCGGCGCGGCGAGCGAAGCAGCGAGGCCCAAGGTGGAGAGGCCGACGTGCTGCACGCGGAGTGCGCCATACTTTTTCTTCCCAGCACGCGACAGAGTCTCCTGCAGCTCCTCGATATCGTCCAGGCATGTGTGCTCGCCGCGCACGTTTGACACGTCCAGCAGCATGGATGGGGTCCTTCCTTTCGTTCCTTCAGCAATCATGCAACACCATTTAAGACACACACACATACACACACACAGAGAGAGAGAGAAAACAAGCACAAAAGAAACGAAAACAAGAAGAGCAGGAGGAGATAGAAGGAAGAAGGCGCAATTTTTCGCAGAGAATATACATCAACAGACACAGACGGTAACAAAGAGCAACAAGAGTATTAGCAACCAAGTGGGGGTGGCTGGATTACGTGGTTCCTTCTGTTTTCGTTCAAGGATGTCAAATCCAGTCACATTTTTTCCTTTGCATTACAGCAGAACCTCGAGCTCATGCCGCCTGTATGTGTGCTTGGTGTCATCCTCGATGCTGGGGTAGTACGGCACCAGTGCATCTGGACTCGCAACGTAAATCATGTTGTACGTTCTCCTGTAGATGTCCCGCACCTTCTTTGCCGGGTGAAACAGGCCCTGAAGAAGATACTGCAGCATCTTGCCAGACCCCAGCACCAGACGTGCGGCCTCATAGAAGCCAACAACGGCTGTAATCATCTTAAGCCGCTCCTCGCCGACCTTCGTCTCATTTCGCGAGAGAAGCTCCACGATGTTCGGGTGAATAAAGTTGAGGAAGTGAACTACAACCTCTTCAAACCCATCGTTGCCCGCCACGGCCATGACAATTGCGCGGCACGCCTCCACAGCCATACGGCGGTGTTGAATGTCTGTCTCAGTGAGGGCCCGCACTAGTAGTGGTATGAGCGGATACACAAACTCTTTCCCTACTGCTCCAATCGCCTCGAAAATGTATCGAATCGCCTTTAGCACTGAATGCTGCACAATCGTCGCCACCTGCTCACCTTCACTGACCTTGTACTCGTTCAACAGGTATGGAATAACGGTAAAAGGACCACATTCACGTGCAATGGCTCCCAACGCAACAGCAGTGCAGATACGAATCTTACGCTTATCCTGCTTGAAGTTATCCACAAGCTCGAGGATAATGGCGAAGGGACGAATCTTCTGAGCGATGACACCAAATGTTCGGGTGCACGCACGACGCGTCTCGCGACGATCCGCGTCGAGCAGTTCAAACAATCCCTTGGTTGCCAAATCCTGCAGGTGAATCGCCTCCACGTCCTCGTCACAGTTCGTCGCAATCTCTTCAACGAGCAGAATAGTGTTTAACTGCACATTACTGTTGCGATTTCGAATAATGTACGTCAGCTTCTTTAATAGTTCCCGCACAGACGGCTGGTACTTTGCAGCACCCAATTCCACCAAAATTGCACGTGTTGCTTTGAGGTTGGCGCTCATCACAGCAGCTTCATCATCCTCTAGGCGATCGAAGAGGCTGCGACCGAGGTCCTGAAGGAACAGCACGCCGTCAGCCTCCTTCACAGTGTGGGCGATGCGTGCCGCGAGCTCTGCTGCCTGCATGCGTATCATCCCTGGCATGTCACGGCGGCTCTTGATGAGATCGAACACCTGCCGCAGGTACCGCTTCAGCCGCACCCCGAGCGAGTTGCAGATAGCCGCGAGGCCCTCCAGCACCACACGGTTCAGGCCAGTCTCGTCCTGCTTTACCGCAGCAATCGCACCATCGAGCAGCAGGGCGACGAGTGTGTCCGGAACGCCAAGCGTCCCAACCGCCCGTATGACGCGCCGCACTGTATCAATCACCATGCGCTGAAAGTGCTCGTTCTCGTCCTTCATGTCCTGTACAAGGTACTGCAGGATCTCTGTGCTGCCAAGTTTCTTGGAAATTGACACGGTTGTCTCAATGAGGGCGGCAGCTGTCTTGCGCTCTGCAGCGACGCGGCGAATCGACCAAAATCCGTCGAAGAATGGCTTCAAAATAACATCGCGAATAAAATTCGCTGTGACACCATCAGCAGAGACGCACTGTCGCACCACCTGTAGCAGCACACGACGGTGCTCGTCCTCTGGGGTGTTAAATTGGTTCACCAGTGTCGGCATCATGTCGGAGGTGTACTTCTGTGCGTCGTAGGGTGCCATGAGTGGGACAAGCGAACCGAATGCACGCACAAACGGTCCGGCGGTGCTGCCGATGCCGCGCTTACACTCCTCGCGCACAATGAGTACCAACGACTCGAGTTCTTCAATGCCGTACGGATAAGTAGCACCCGCAACGTGGGCAAGCGCGTTGGCGGCTTCACGCTTCACGCGCGGCTCATCGCGAAGCAGTTTCTCAAAGATGGGCACGAGCTCCACCAAATCGCCAGTAATAGCGTGCATGAGAATGGACGCCAGTTCAGTGATGGCGCGGGCGGAAGTTTGTCGTGCCAACGCTACAGGCGAGAGAGACATACCATGGATGATCTGCAGCGCCATCTGCGAACCCACAGCGTAACCGACAATAGCAACCACCTTTGCGGTGTGACGCCGCACGCCATTCTCAACGTGCGCAAAGTCCTCCTTTATGGCCTCAAACACTGCCTCGTAGCCCACCACACGTGTCAGCAACGCGAGAACTTCCTTGCCATCCTCCCGCACAGCCGTTTCCTGGGCAGAAAGCAGCACCTCCATCATGTGCACAATCTCCTTGGTGGAGCCACGCACCTCCTTCTGCAGCCGTGCAATCACACCCTTCACAAAGTCCACAAAGTAGTGCTGCTCCTGGAGTTCAAGAATTCCCGATCGCCAGACGTGAAACGTAAATTGAAAGAGTGGTTCCCTGCCAAAGATACGGGCCTTGTCCAGTAGGAACCTCATAGCAACACGCCGTTGATTGGTGTCACCATTCTTGATCTTAAAGAGGTTCTTCATGAGCAGATACGATGGCAGCACCTCTACGGGGATAGGATTCACGTTGTGATATTTCAGCAGTACCTCGAACACAGGTGCATCCTGCGGCTTCATCGGTGGCATGTCGTCTCCAAGACTCTCCGGAATATCATATGTGACAGCCGCCGCCGCATCGTTGCCCTGACTCAGCACAAAGACATCTAGCGACTTGCTGGCGAGTTCGTAGAAATTCGGCTCCTCTGGCGGCGGCGGGTTGTAGTCGGCCGGCGGTTCCACGAGTTTAAACTCAGGTGGGAGAATGGCATCCAAGTGCTCCTCCGTCAGTCGCTTGTTTTTCATACGCCACTGTATCTCCAGCCTTCGCGCCTGCGCCTCAATATTGGCGGTGATGGCCGACTGCGATTCCATCCCAGCGAAGCGTGACTGAACCGGCGTGGAGCCCTCGAACTGATAATTTGGTGTGGCACCGAACGCCAAACCTGCCGCCGGCGTGGCGCCGGCGAACATCGGCGTCGTGCCGCCAAACATCGGCGTCGTGCCGCCAAACGTCGGCGTCTGCCCGCCAAACGTCGGTGTCTGCCCGCCGACCGTTGGTGTTTGCCCACCCTGCCCGCGCATCATCGGTGTCCTGACGGAATCGACGATGTACGCGCTGGGTGTCGGTGTGGAGTGGCCACGCCACGCCGAGAGCTCTGCGTTGACGATCATCTTTGGCGTATCGCCGCCGCGCTGGCGCGGTGTGCCGGCGCCCCACCGTGACGACGTTGGCGTCGGTGCCGGGGCGTTGGATGTCGTCTCCCAGCGGTGCGCCTTCAGCGCAGACTCGCCGCTACCCTCTTCATCAGCCATTGCTCCTATTCCTTTTCTTCCTGTCGAGGAAAGGCGCGATATGCCACGCAGCGGGGTCGATGGTTTCAGCACACGCACGCAGCGAGACAGAAAGAGACACAATGAGAATCCCGCAGCTAGAACTTGGAGTACAAGACGGCGACGTGCTTCACGTGCGCCTCGTTCAATAATAATAATAATAATAGCAATAACAGTAAGGAAAGTAGTTGTGGTGTGTGTGTCTGTGTGGGTGCTTGTGTCGCGCCACGGCCCTTTCCCTTCTTACGAATTCCTATGAACACAGAGACCGATACAAGGGGTGTGCTCAAAATTCCAAGAGACCAATGACAGTAGACGTGCCGAGAAGAGAGCACTTCAAAGGGGTAGAAACAAACATCATAAATAGATGACATTAGCATTTCCTTAGTCCCATAGAAAGAGGTGCGAGTACATCATATATATATATATATATATATGTGTGTGTGTGTGTATATATATATATATATATGTAAACGCACCAACACCAAGCCGCCTTCATTACGTCCAGACAGCTGTAGAGAGCAGGTAGTCTATGAGCACCTGCGGGTATTTCTCCCGCATCACCTCCAGCGGCAGTGTGTCCACGAGGGTCTTGTCAAACTGCACGCGGACGTAAATATGACGCTTCCCCGCGCCCTCAAGGGCCCCGTGCAGACTGTCACCGACTCCGCTCGGTGACAGCTGCTCCACCGCCGCACTCCCCTTGTTTGACGCAGCTTGCTCGCTGGTGATGCGAGAGCAGTAGAGTCCCAGCACCTTCACGCTAAGGAGACCGCTAGTGTTCATGGCTGACGGCGCCCCGACGCCATCGCCGGCGCCAAGGCCGGCAGTGTGCCGCGCGTATGGGCGCTGTGGGAATACCTTCGGCAGCACGCGCAGCTCGACGAGGTCAGACTCCCGCATCTGCCCCACCCCAATTACATGTATGTGCGCACAGAAATAGGCATCAAAAATGAATAGAGAAAGAGAGAAAAAAAAAGAGAAAAGCGCCGTGCAAGTGGAGCTCTAGTGTGAGCCGGACGACCTCACTTACACAGAGGAAAACCAAACAAACGGCAACGCCGTCCCCACCCTCGCAAAAAGGGAGCACACGAAATGTATTCTCATTTCAAAAATTCAAACGAAAATCACTCAATGGAGATCAAACAACAACAGCGGCAAGGCGGAGATCGTATCGCTCCTACTTGCGGGCAGGCGGGCGGCGGTGGCCACCCTTCTTCACGACGGGCGCCACAGCGCTGGCGAGCACGACGTGACGCGGCACGCCAGTCTCCATGCGCTTCAGCATGCCAAGGGTCTGCTTGTCGACCTGCACGCCGTCCTGGATGGCCTGGTCGACGTGCGACACCTCGGGCACGTAGTCCATGCGGCGCTCGCGCTCCTCCTCCTGCAGCTTCAGCGAGATGCCACGGACGGGGCCGCGCGCAAGGCGCTTCATGATGTGCGTCGTGTAGCCGGCAATCTTGTTCTTCAGCTTCTTGGAGCGGGCGATGGTGACATCAAGGATGACGCGCTTGTTCTGGTAGAAGTCCTTGTTGAGCTTCGAGAAGTACTTCTCCACGATCTGCTTGGATGCGCGCTTCACCGTCTTGGTGCGGATCTTGCCCATGATTTCTGATCGAGTGGTCCCTTTCCTTCTTTGAGAGAACGCAGACGACACAAAGGAGTATGAGAGAAGGTATCCATCTGGCGCTGGGGCAAGCGCTGCAGCGTGTGGAGAATCGGCAAACCCGAATACTGACAGAAAACAGAAGGGAAGCGGGGGGAAATGAAAACCTACAGGCCCAACAGGCGTTTTTCTTCGTGTCTGTGGGGGAGGGGGGTGAACAACATAACGAAATGGTACACAATGAGCCTCTCGATACAGGGGGTTGTGACTGGGCGTCTGGGGTACAGCAGTGAGTATTCCCGACATGATGCACACACACACACACATATATATATATATATATATAACTCTCCGTTTCGCTCATTCACTCTCTAGAGTGTTCGGTTCCGGGTCAGTGCGGCGTACAAATCCTGCGCGGCCTGCCGCCTTGCGCTGCGGCCCATGTCGCGCAGCAGGCAGTCACGCAGCGCGGCGACCACCTGCTGTGTGTGCTGGTGCGGGCGCGTCCGCAACACCGCCAGCACTGAGTTGGCGCCCACATCGCTGAGTGTGTCGAACGCCTCAAGCCGCACTTCCGCCGTGTCGTCGTTGAGGGCGAGCGCGAGTGTGCGGATGACTTTGCCGCCGCACGCCCGTAGGCCGAACGCCGCCGCCGCGCGTGACGCCACGGCGGGGCTCTGAATGGCCGTTTGTGACACGTACAGCTCGCCGTGGGCGCCGCCGTATGCGCAAAGCGAGTAGAGCAGCGCCTTCTGCACGGAGAATGGCAGCACAACGGACTCAATCAGTTCCTTCATGATTTCGAAGGCCTCGTTGGGTGTCTCGCTGTGGTAATACATCGCCGCCTCCTCACTGCGGTGGTGGTGCGCAACAGCACCACTACTACCGGCGTTGCCGCCGCCCTTGTTGTTGCTGCTACTTCTGCCAATGACCTCCGCGAGGGCGTAGGCGCACTCGAGCACAACATCCTCCTCAATATCACCAGCAGCAATGGCGACACCAAGCCGCTGCACCACCATCTCACGCAATCGGCGCGTGTCGCCCTCAACGCCAAGCGATGCCTCTAACATATCAATCTTCGCCAGCGCACGCACGCACGCCACACGCGTCGACACCGGCAACTCCAGGGTACTACTACAGCTAACACCACCACTTGCGCCGCTATTGCTGATGATTTTGTTGTTGTTACCACCGCCGCTGCTGTTGTTGCTGCTGCTGCTTCTGTGGCCGCTGGTGATTCTTTCCAGCAGCGCACGCACCCCGCGCAGGCCCAAACGAGCAAGAGCCCACGCAACGGTCTCGTGATTCATCGCGTCGTCGTGCAGACATGTGGTGAGGGCGCGGGCGGTGGCCTCCGGCATGTTCGACACGGCGCCAACTTCGCCTAGCCCAATACACGCGGCGTGGCGCACCCGCCATGACGGCGCACCCAAATTGTGCAGCAGTAACTCGCAAGCGGTATTAGTCACAGTCGGCGATGTGCCTTCGTGCCGCACGAGGCGCCCCAACGCCACGAGACCCGCCACAACAGCGGCCTCTCCCCCATCACTCTCGTCGGCGCACTGCTGCTCGTAGCGTGACACACACTGAATGACGTAATCAAGGACAGGTGGTGCCACGTGTATAGTCACAAAACCCGGCAGCGACGCGAGCGAGACGAGTGTCTGCTCCACCACACTCAGTGGTGTTCGTCCGTCAAGAAGAATTGTTATGAGCGTCTCTTCAATGGCAAACTGTTCGTCCTCGCGGCCAATGAAGCACGGATCGTATGAAAACGGTAGCACACGAGGAGGCAATTTCGAGGCATCTTCAAGCTCGCTCTCGTGGCGTCGTAGTGACTCCTGCACGGCTTCAGGCATCCCCTGCTGACGACACGCCTCAGGTGCCCCGAGAGCAAAGTCTTGCAGCACGAGCGGCAGTGTTTCGTAGGTGTGTAATGCACGGCGAAAATCCATCGAGGCAGTGAATTGCAACAGCTGCCGACGCACTGTTTCAGCGTGTAGAATGACGTGCGTCGGGCGGTACGGCGGCGGGAGCTGCAGGGATGACTCTCGCCGTGGCCTGCCGTCGCCGTCCACCTCAACGTAGCCCGCGTCGACTGGGGGTTGATAGAACACAATTGTACCACTCAGTCGCGGCGCGCCAAGGCAGTAGACAGTCGTGTGACCCAGCACCGGGTACGCCATCGTACTAATGCCGTAGACCGCTGCCGCCCGAACGGCCGCATCGCTGCGATTGCTACTCGCCATGCGGCAGAGCGCCCGCACGCCATCATCGCCGCCGACCGCACGTATAGCGAGCGCCACGAGTTTCACACAGCCCTGTACAGATGTGAGCATCTTGACTAGAATTGGCAGGGCAGCCTCGGCGCGCTCGCCAAGGCCGATGAGTGCAGAAAGGATGTGTGACAACCGCGAGTTAGGATCGCTTGCATCGCACTCAGTCATACAACTTTGTTCCGACAACTCCGCGAGAAACATCGGGACGACAATGTGGCGTATGGCGTCGCCCGAGTTCACAAGCGCCGTGAGCGCATACCACTCCCGACAGTGCGGTGTTGTGTCATCACAGCAGCCCTCCATGTCGCGCAGTGCCTCCCGCAGCGCAGCCGACCCCATTGTCGTCAGTTCACAGAGAAAAGGCATCAGCGGCTGACTAGAAAGCTCTTTGTTCGTATAATCGAGATCCGTCACTTGAGTAGGGAGAGGCGAGAAGCCCTCATCGAGGTCATCGGCGCGGCTAATAGGGGATAGAAGAGCAGACGGTGGCGTCGCCTCCACCCAGGTTATTGGCTGGGGAGTATCGGCAGGCAGCGGCTCCTGCCGCTGCTGAATTTCATGCAAGAGCTTGTCCTGACGCTGCCTACGCTGAGAAAGAAGTGACTTGGTGTACTCGCTTACGGCAGAGGAGGTGAGTACATCTCCTGATTTTATTCTAGAGCTTAACTCTTCTGTTGTGTGCCGTGTAGATGTATCTCGTCGTCCTTCTGTGCATGGAGTTTCGTAAACGTTTTCCACACCCGTGTCTGTGGCTCCACCACTCTTGCGGTGTGTACGCTCGCGTCTCTTGTGTGTCTTATTATTCCGCTCGTCTCGCGTGCTGCAGGTTGTTGTGGTATGCGAATAAAGTGGATCATCAAAGAAGACATCGTCTTCTTCCCTGTCCTGTGGTGGAGAAACCAATCGTGATACCGTGTTTGGTCTGTAGTTGTCCGGTGATTGGGATGGGTCTTTTCCTTTCTCGCCTGTCTGCTGCTTGCGCTCATGGCGATGGTTGCCTGTGTCACTACCAGCTGTCCCCCTCATCCCTCCGGCTTGTTTTCGCATTGCCACAATCTCTTTCAGTACTCGTTGCAGAGCCTGGTTCACATTCCCACCCTCCGCAGGGCGGCTGGGCGGAGACGTCCGCACCGTCGCTGTGGACTCCGCAGCGTCGCCGCTGTACGATCTCACGCCCCGTATGTCCTCCTCCTTCTCCCCCAGCCAGGAATATGTGGGGTGATGCGGCGTCGCCGTCTGCTGATGATGCAAGTGGCTTTCTTCCGCCCTGCCTTGAAGCGGCAACTGCGGATTCCCGGTTGTTGAGGTTGGGTGCCTTGCAGCCTCCGGGCCCCAACGCGCGGGTGACGGAAGCGAAGCGTTGCGCCGGTGGTCGTCACCAGCTGCTGAAGCGGCTACACTACTGCTCAAATCTGTGTCGGTTTCGGGCGGAAGTGGGTCCAGCACGTCCTGCTGGCGCAGAAGCTCCAGCTGCCGGAGGACTGCATATGCTCGCGAGAGCCCGGCGGTCTTTGCCATGAGCCCAATCCAGAGAGCTGTTCTCTACAATCTCACACGCAATCAACCAAAGGGGGATGTGATGAAGATTACAAATAACACGAACAGGGTTATTATTGTTACGGTAGTGCGATCCGCTCCTCTGCCCCCGGGTGGCTCACACGAGGAAAGAGCATCCCAACGCATGCGGTGGTGTCCGCCCAATCGCATCAAGCACCGCTCCCACGAATACAGAGAGGCACACACACGCTGCTGTGACGACAAGAAAGGCAGAGACAAAGAACGGGCGCCACGACAAGGCGCGGCAGTCACAAAGGCAAAGAAAACAAAAAACAAAAAAAGAACCTCCCCCCACCCCTAAAAAAAAAAAAGTCGATTTGTAGTGCATGAAAAATAGCACCATGAAAAGTAAGAGAGACATCATCACAATAACAAGTCAATCAGCAAGACAAAAATAATAAAAAAAAAAAAAGAATGAAAAAAAAAAAGGGGAAAAGGACAAAAAAACGACGCGTTCCACATCTGTACGAGAAGGTGGTAGAAACAAAAAACGAACAACAAAAAAAAAGGCGGGCAAATAAAGCCCGCATAAGCCGCCCACTTCTCATTCATTCGGTTAATCCCATGAGACGCGGACTCTGGCGCTCCACCCACGACGCACGTGTGCAGCCATCCGACGGCGCAAAGTTTGTCATGATGGAGGCGTCCTTCAGCTTCTTTGAGAATTCCAGCGCACTCCGCTTGACGATAACCATGTCGCTGCGGATGTTCTTCACGATGAGCTGATCCAGTGATCGTACACGCGAGCAGGCCACGTAAATAAGGTGTGGGCACTCAAAGAATTTCTCGCAGTCGAGTACGACAGTCCCCTCCAGAGTGAGCCCCTGCACCTTGTGCACCGTGAAGCTGTAGCCCAGCTGCAGCGGCAGTGAGTACAGTTCGTGGCCATAGAAAAAAGTGGAGGGTGTGCCGCCGACCGTGAGTGAGAGTGGTGGCACCTGAACCACCTCTCCGCTCAGCAATCGCACAATGGGCAGATTAGGGAACATATTCTTCTCCAGTAGCCATCCGTAGAACGTCTTCGCCGGTGCCTCATGGCGGCGCGGAAACAGGTCCGGGTTGGGCAGAGCAAAAGCCTCGACGACCCCCACACTGCCGTTTGACACAGTCCGTGAGAGGTTGCGGTTGACCATCACGCGACAGCCCAACTTTAGCCGCAGTGGTGTGAGGTGCTCAGCGTTCGGATGGCTTGATACGTCTGCAAGCGCCATCGACACACTGAGTGGTACGAATCCCTGTGGATCCTCGTCGTACACCTGACGCAGTGTTGCCTTCAGTCGCGAAGCGGTACTATCCATAATTTCCTTCCATTGGTTCTTGGAGACGGCAGTACTGCTGATGCCGAAGTTGCTGCTGCCGCCACTCCTGATCCCTTTCCGGGCTGCCACCCCGTCGTCTGGGTGGCGAAGGCGAATTATCACACCGCCCTTCGCTGATCGGGTCGGCATCACCACCACATTGTGGTCCGCGACGTCGACACCAGCAATTCTCTTGATCTCCTCTGTCATTACCTCCACAATCTCATCGCGGTTGGGCAGATGCTTCCGCTTCCGGAACTCTACGAGCCCTGCGGAGGTGAAGTTGCCAATGAGTTGCAGCGGGCCGCGCTGTGGTGTAAAAATCATCTCTTCGCTACGTAGCTCACAAAGCTTTTCATCATTCAGCCTTTGTGCATCTCGCCGCCTCGGAAAAATGTGCGTCACATTCTCTGTGTTCTCTGAGAGCGGCCGGTCGAGTGATGCGAAGACCTTGCGATCAAACTTCCCGACACGCAGCTGCGCCAGCATCTTGTACAGCGGATCTCCCTGCGCGTGACGCATCGGTGTCACTAACTGCACAGCGATGAGATGCCGGAACGCCGCGCTCTGGTAGCATGGTCCAGCAGACGCGCTGTCTGTGGTGGCGAGCTGCAAAAAGTCTCCGCACGCGATTACCTGCAGCCCGCCAAATGGCAGTGGCTCCAGTCGTGCCATGCGCGCCTCCAGATCAAAGGCGTCAAAGAGCTCAGCATCCAGCAGGGAGACTTCATCGATGATCACAACGTCCACCGCACGGAGTGCGTTGGCGTCCCATCGTTTTTTTAGCCCCGTTGCGTCGCTCAATGGTACACCAAAGGCCAAGTGAAAAGTGCATCCCCCAAGCTGCACCGACGCCACGCCTGTTGTCGCCGTCATGGCCACACGCAAGCCTAACTCTGTCAAGCGACGGTGGATGGCTTTGAGCAAAACCGTCTTGCCTGTGCCGGCACTCCCACCCACAAACATGCTGTAACCCCGTATTGCGCATCGAATAGCGTTCTCTTGATCTGGCGTCATTGTCATACTCGAGAGCTGTGGGTCATGCATGGCATCCAGCTTGGGCGGCAGGTAGGCGCTTGTGAGCTCACCGTACAGCCGGTGAATCTCCTCGTTCACAGCGTCGGCGGCATCCGGTCTTGAGAGCAACGCAGTCAAATTCTTTCGCCATGAAACAATCGAGTTCAGAAAGGGCCTCAGGGCATTAGGGCTCGCGGTTTGTGCGGCCGCTGCGTCCCATACAATGCGAAAGGGGTTTACAGCGCTCCGCTTAAATCCGACGCGCAGAAGCTCTTTTGCCACGCGGCTGCTCGCTGGTGTTAGGCGACCTGTGAAGGGGTTGATGAATGCATCGCTTCCCTCTGATGCACTCATACATGCTTCCTGCAGCGGTTGTGAAAGAACGGCGTCGCCAGAGGGCAAGCTCCGACGTGCTCTGTTTCGTGGCATTGTTACCACTTGGCGCACAGAGTGGGCCGCGCGCCTTCGTCGCAGAGCATGATACGATGTTGTCAGCTGAAATAGGGAAGCCAGGCCAGCAACATTTATGCGGCGCATCTTGTAGCAACGCCTGTGATGTCAGTCTTGAATATATATATATATATATATATGCGTTGAACGGGGAGGGGGAGTGAAACAAAAACAAAAGAAAAGAAAAAGCAAGCGAGGACAGTAGATGCATGAATTATGGAAATTGTAGGCTCAGCTCTGTAGGAGGAGACATGCAGACGGCACCTGCACGCGCGCACCCGCACACACGACTAAATCAGTAAACCCAAACACAGCATGCACAGCTTATGCAGGTTCTCCATCTTTCCGAAGAAGGGCACCCAGTTCGTGTGCGAAGCGGACACTGTGCCGCCCATACTTGCGCTGCATTTCCTCCAAGCCACCCTCCCGCATTGCGCCGGGGCGGATGAGGCACACGCACGTCGCCTCTGTGCCATACACCGACATGTTCGGGAACGCGATGGCAAGACGGTCGTACCCCTCAGGCACGCAGGCAGCCAGCTCCTCTAGCAGTGTCGACAAGGGCACGCCGGCCGCCTTCACCTCGCGGAGCAGCACAAACCATGCTGTGTGGTCTTCCTCCCTCTCCTCCGTGGTGGTTTTCGGCTCATCTTTCGACCGCTTTTGTTCAACCGCCTCCTGGGTGATCTCTTTTGGCGTGAGAAATGCACGGAAGATGCGCATACTGAAGAGATCATCAAACTCGATGCAGAACACAATGTGATCGCTGAGGATATTTTTGCTTTCAAGTGGCTGATGATGCCTCGCAAAACGACGAATCCAGTTGATATCTGCCGCACTGAAATCGTTCATACTCGCCATATCCACCACATCCTCAACGGTGATTGTGTCATCCTCACCGTTATCCTTATCAATCTCCTCCGGCTCCTGCACAGGCGAAGGGGCATTCATCTCCATCTCCTGACGACCGCGCTTGCGATCGGCAGTCGCAGTGGGAATGACCAGTTCCTCTGCAGCGTCATGCACCTCCACCAGCTTCCAGATGGTCTGCATCGTGCACTGAGCGCAGTACCCATTGCACTCCCACTTCTGCACATCGTAGTCCACGCGTGCTCGTGACCCACAGCGAAGACACACCTCGTCATATGCGACAGGCCCCTTCTTGCCGGTTCCAATGTGGTGAGCCGCCTCACCAGCAGTGTTGATGGATACTGGCAGTGTGTCACTGGAGTTGTTATTATTGTTGCTGCTGTTGACGGTAGCTTCATGATCGGCAACACCCGCCGGTCCGGTGGCGTCCGTGCGGCGCAATATCTCTTCCACTGTTTCACCTGCCTCCAGGGAGAGAAGCTCCTCATGCGTGTAGCCCACTTCCACTGCCCTGCGATATTCGTCCGTCGCGCGGTCGAGGCGGCGCACCATATTGGCCGTCGCCTCGTCACCGAAAGCGCCGATGGAGCCAATCGCAGCGTCCGGGTCGCGCCGCATACGTCGCAAGTGGAACTTCGACTGCTTCTCACCGGCATTCTGCTTGAGGGCCTCGATGTTCTCTGGGCGGGCGTCAGGCATTCTGTAGTGCAGCGAGTCCTTCTTCAGCACAAGCTGCCGCACCGCCCCTGTGCCGCGGGACTGGTGACTGAGATTGTACTTCTCTGCGAGGCTGTGCAGCTCGCGGCGGTCGTTGGGCGCCAACTCCTTCGGCAGCTCTAGCACCGTCTTGGTGGGGTCCGCGACGAACATCTCGATCTTGCGGCACCAGGTGTCAAAGAAGTGGCTCCTGTTGTCCTTCGCCTCAGACGCGGCAGGAGGCGGGCGCGGGCGCGACGTCGCCGAGTCCTGCCGCACCTGCAGCGCTCCGGTGCCCTCCGGGGCCTCTGCCGGTGCCGCTGCGTGGACGCGGCGCGCCATTGCCTGCTTGGCCTTCTGCAGCGCCTCCAGCATCTCCTCGCGGGATCCTACGGTCGACATGGCTGTGCACACACAGTGTGTGTGTGTGTGTG